AAACCTGAGAATGTTACCTTTGCGATAGTCGGCAGCCAGTTCATTGTAATATCCCGTGCTACAGGCAGAAAAGTGTTCCTCGACACTTGCCTTCATGGTTACTGCCGGCGCTGACTGACACTTCGCATTTAGGTGCACCTATATATATATATGACGCTACGATGACTGGGCGACGTGGCCTGGCGCATACCCCATGTTTATTCCATTCTCTGCACTTCTTCCTTCTCTGCTTCTACCAACCATCGCTACCTTCTTACGTCACATGATTCCCCCTCCCCCCGAAAGAAGGCATGAGTTACAACTTACAAACAAGAAAAAGTAAACAAGGAGTGGCTTGGAAGTCACCAATGTCAAAATAAAGAGGTAGTCTCACAAATTTTAAAATGCACGTGTTGTCTTCTTCGTCGCTAAGACTTGAGGGGAGAGTGTGGCAGTCCGGTGATATCAATAAGAGATCTGGCGGGCGAGGCTGATGGTTGCGTCCTGGATAACACAAGAATGCTTTGGACCTGGAGACTGATGAAATAGCTGGCATTATTGCGAAGAGTGGACGCTGTTTGAAAGCGTTGCAGTAGATCGGTTTTCGGCGTCGCTGTCTTTGCTGCGTGCGTGCTCGCTGTCGTAAACTAATGTGATGGTGTCTGAATCCTTGCGTGGTGGAACTGGTGACTTCTTGTCTTGTTCAGTGTTTCCTGAGGTTTCGGAGCTGTAATCTTAGGCGCAGTCTTGATCTTTTGTGCCAAATGCGTTTCTGGCGCCGATCCCTTATGCGAAGAGGCCTCGCTTCTTGAATTTGTTTTAAGACGCTTGCTTTGCGTCGTCGTCCTTGTTGGTGTGTCCGTTGTAGTTCCTGGAGTTTGTGGAGTTGCCTTTGCTGAAATTACTCGTCTTTTTGCGAAAGTTGGTCAGATGGGCACCTTTCAGGAACATTTGTATGCTTTTCTTTGCATGGCGATTTGATCAGTAAATAGTCGATACTTGTTAGGGTGTCGCGATTCATGTCAGGCAATGGAGATAGTGTGCCAAAATTGACAGAAAAATCTACTGAGGCTCTTGCAACGACATTCTTAATGAACGTTCCTGGCACAGGGAAGTGCTTGAAAGTTGATCCTTTCGAGCCTCCTGTGTTGATTGGGCTCTCAGGTGGCTGGGAACTCGACGGCGACACTGCGAGAAGATTGGTTTGGTCAGATTTTACTTGGGGCTGTTTCTCTGTGTCCGCACCTTGGGAGATAAGCTGTTCTGATGCATGAATGAGGACGATTGGCCCTAGGCTTGGCTGAGTATATTCGGAGTTCCGCAGCTCTATCCCGACCATTGTGAGCGTGCTAGATGTGAGATTGACATTGTGAGTCACGAAAGAGCCAAGCGATTGAAAACCAGGAGGCGGACCAAGTCTGCGAGATGGGGAGTAAGCTGCTCCAATGCGTGAAGACTGATTTTCACTCTTTGAGTCATCTTGGCGTTGTTTGGTATTTTCCCCATGTGTCAGCTGGTCTACCATGAACAAGGCGTCCTTATGACACGAATAGTGACCGTTAGGAGCCTTTGAAGAGCTGCATCGTAGAAAACCAGGTGGTGGACCATGTAAGCGAGACGAAGCATGAAAGGCATCAGTAGGGTGAGCAACGCCTCGTGTCGTATGTTGGTGCCACGACTTTGGAAATGCCGACTTTCGTGCACAAGGGAGCTGCGCTTGACGGTTGGGGTTTTCCCAATATACGCATGGCCTTCTGTAAGTAAACGCATGTGCCACTTCGTCTTGAGGCACTTGTCGATTCGCGCTGGACTTTCGAATGCTTGAGGACTGCTTAGGAAATTGACGATAGTGTGCAGTTGTCTCTAGATGGTTGGCAATGAGTAAGTCTTGGTCATAGTCATTAAAACGGGTAATCATCTCCTCTTTGATTTTTTGCCATGACTCGTCGTTCTCGAATATGTGAATTAGGTAAAATTTGAATGCCTCACCGGTGACGTAGTCGCTGAAGTTCGTAACCATCTCCCGTTCCGACCAAGATGCAGCGGTAGCGTGGAGTTCGAACAGGTTGAACCAGTCCTGTACGGGTCCGTCGTCCGCTGATCCGGTGTACTTGGGGATGTCGAGGTCAGCCGATGGTTCTGTCATGGTGCTGGTCGTTGTCCTCCTAGGCGATGATTTGGTAGTCACTGTATGGTCAGGGCGTCTCCTGGGGAACTGCGTCGATGATGAGTGACTGATGAAGGGGCAGGCAGGTCTTCATCCTGTCGACTCGTGTGACGCTACAATGACTGGGCGACGTGGCCTGGCGCATACCCCATGTTTATTCCATTCTCTGCACTTCTTCCTTCTCTGCTTCTACCAACCGTCGCTACCTTCTTACGTCATATATATATATATATATATATATATATATATATATATATATATATATATATATATATATATATATATATATATATATACACACACACACACACACACACACACACACATATATATATATATATATATATGTGTGTTGTGTGTGTGTGTGTGTGTGTGTGTGTGTGTGTGTGTGTGTGTGTGTGTGTGTGTGTGTGTGTGTGTGTGTGTGTGTGTGTGTGTGTGTGTGTGTGTGTGTGTGTGTGTGTGTGTGTGTGTGTGTGTGTGTGTGTGTGTGTGTGTGTGTGTGTGTGTGTGTGTGTGTGTGTGTGTGTGTGTGTGTGTGTGTGTGTGTATGCTCCGTAAAAGGGAAGCGTTGATGACCACCGCCGTAGCTCAGTTGGAGGAGCGCCGGACATGCTATTCGAAGGTTGCAGGTTCGGTCGCTCTATGTGACTAGTTGGTTTTTTGTCCCCTTTAATTTCTTCACACTTACGAAACATTTACTATCATGAACGTCTCTATAAATTACTTGGCTTAACCGGCTGTTGGTTCTTATTAAAATCATTTAAGGGTAGCAACGCTTGCTGATGCGAATGTTTATTTTCTTTCTAAGATATCTTTTAGATGACCACGTACAAGCGTTTTACGTATGGCAACATTCAGGCCGTCCTACTGGAACACGGCTCTGAATGCCATCGGGTCAAAGCAGTAAATTTTTTAAGCATGCCGCATTACCGCACTGTAAGTACTCTCGGTACGTTTATTCTTATCACGTGACCAGACCCAGGAAGAGGAGCGCGGTTTGAAGACAGGCATCCTGATGAGCAGGACACTAAAACACATGGCGGTTACCTGCAGGGCCTCCCAGACTCTTCTTCTCCCAGAACCTCACGAAATTAACTCCGCTAAAGCGTCAACACAATGACCCGCAGAGGCATCGTAAATTCCAGCTCGTAAACGAATTCAAATTAGCGTCCGACGCCGAAAAGACGCAGTGAGAAGGCAGCGTTCGCGAGAGCACAGTGGGCGAAGACCCTTATTCGAACAGCAGCGGGCAAATACAGCGAGTATGTTAAAATAAAATTGAGTGCAAAAAATGGTGAAGTGATCAAGTTATCCACAATGAAACTTCAAAACATGGAAAAGAAAAGAAAAATTACGTGACAGTGCTCTTTCTTTCCCCTCCGTGTTCCTTCTATTACCATTTCCCTGTCCTTTTTCCGGTGCTGAAGCTTCATTATGGCTTTGTACCAATGCGCCCAGCTGCATGCCTTAACCTTAAATTAAGGGCCATATTTTTTATTTGAAAAAAAAATAATAGGCAATATATTGCAACAACCTAGAGCTTCATGGTATAAACAAACATCCTCATGACAAATTCGTATACGCGGTGCACAAGCGTGTGTGTGTGTGTGTACGTTACAACAAACGCTTTCAAGGTTGCGACTGCAGCCTTGAAGAAGACAAGTTTGGATAAACTTCGGCTTCATCAGCACACTCACCCTGTATGCAAAGTTTCATCGGAAGCTTCCCTCTCTCCTTTCTTACCTTTTTTTTGTGTATCCTCGAGTTGGTAAACATAAACTCACGAGTCCCTCATTATTCGCTCTCCTAAGACGAAAGTAACTTAGTCTAGTTGACCTCCTTACCTTTCTAAAAAAATTTTCTTCTCTCTCTCTCTCCGAAAGTTTTCTACACTACGATGTAGAAAGCTTTCATGTTTTTTCACACGGCTTCCAGGATTGGAGGCGTTGCTAGCTTTGTGCACCTCCTCACCTAAAATAGTACAGCCTTTGTTGACGGCTCACTTCTGATCAGGCGACATCGTTATCTGAAGACGTCATCGTTTCACGTCAAAATCCGTAACGTCACCGTGACGTGACCATGATGTTAGAAATTTTGCCAATCTGTGACGTAAAGATCGCGTCATCAGGGTTTGATTTATTGAAAAATGCGTGTTGACGCCAATACCGCGAGACACCGACGTCGACGGTAAATTATCGCATTTGATGAGCGATCTAAGGCTATCACTTGAAAAATTGGTTACGAGCCATAGTAAATTTTTCAATGCAACTTTTGAAGCGAGAAAACATTTGGCTTCGAAGTACAGTGCAATTTTGAAGACATCAAAGCGCCTCACAGTGATAACGTTCATAAAAAAGCTGTATTGTTAAAAAAATTAGCTTTTGCGCACAATATGCCGATTCCATAGACGTAACCCCACTCGTCCCAAACTTGCCTATATGATTTTTCCCTAAACATACAAAAAATATATACACAAAAATGGTAGGCAACAAATTGCGACGATCTACAACTTTCTAATAAAAGAAAAAACTGACCTCTGTACGGTTTGTCTCATATGAGATTAGGCTTTTATGCTAGTTAGTTTTTTTTATCCTCTGCCATAAGTGTGTCGACAGTCTTTTACTGATATCTATCGCAGACACGATCACCTTTCTTTTGCTTTCCCTGTAATCAAGGGTAGCGTGATGGCTGGTACCCATAGAAACACATCCTCGTCTTTGTTGTCTAGAAAACTTTTTCTTATTCGTATAAATGGCCGCAGATAACTGGGAAATCAAAGGCGAGTCGTGTAAAGAAATGTAAGAAAGAAGTGCAGACAAAAGGCAGCAAGCAGTGAATGCGCCGTACTCACCCACTTTGTGGCAGCCGGGCCTCTCCCAGAAATTCGCCTCTCCCACAGCCAGCGCCAACATGGCCAGGACAATGGTGGCGCACTGATGCTTCCGAGCCATTTCCTGTCAATCTGCGAAAGAGCGTGCGCAGTTTTTTTTTTCTATAGTCGGATGCATCTGACCACATCTCACCGATTAAGTACTCGTGCATCTGCAAATACTGCGGCGTACCACACTCTATGTCATATGGTATGGGGATGCAGGCGAAACTTCAGCACCGCTACACTAACCCAAGAGCAGTGGGACGCCAGTAAGCCGTCGGGCCCATGTCTGAAAAATGAGCGTGGCCTGGTTCAGCGGGTATGCTAGAAGGCCCACGGCTACCTGGAATAAGGAGGCCGCTCACCCTGGGCGCATGCACAGTGCGCTGGCTCACAAAAAAAGTTTATTTCCTCTCTCTGTGTGACCGGATATCTCTTCAGAAGTCCTTATAAGCCCCACAAAGTTGACCGAAGTGCGTTGGCCGATCATCCATACGACTAAGAAAATATCCCCGATCGTGCAGTCGGCAACGCTCTCCAAGGTCAGGTATACCGGCCGTCAATCTCATGACGTCAGTCTGCAGTAGGCGCCCATGGGTGCAGGCTTCTGTGCATCTGCCTTTGAGGAGAAAATTCCGCAGACTTTTAAAGTTGTATCTGGGTGTAGTTGTCTTTATCTATCTATCTATCTATCTATCTATCTATCTATCTATCTATCTATCTATCTATCTATCTATCTATCTATCTATCTATCTATCTATCTATCTATCTATCTATCTATCTATCTATCTATCTATCTATCTATCTATCTATCTATCTATCTATCTATCTATCTGTCTTGTCTAGTACGGTGAAATAAACGTGTACGACACAGCTTTATCTACAACGACGTGTTTCGCTCAAAAGCACCAGTCTTGCTTTGACTGAGTCACTGAATTGAGTGGACATCGTACAAAACTTCAAAGCCGGGTGATTGATTGATTGATTGATTAATTGATTGATATGTGGGGTTTAACATCCCCAAACCACCATATGATTATGAGAGATGCCGTAGTGGAGGGCTTCGGAAATTTCGACCACGTGGTGTTCTTTAACGTGCACCCAAATCCGAGCACATAGGCCTACAGCATTTTCGCCTCCATCGAAAATGCAGCCGCCGCAGCCGGGATTTGATCCCGCGACCTGCGGGTCAGCAGCCGAGTATCTTAGCCACTAGGCCACCATGGCGGGGCAAAAGCCGGGTGGCGAAAACTGAAGATATAAAATGATATATAGAAATTCAGCCAAAATTGCACACCCCTCTTAATAGACATTTAGCGTTTTTCTCTTCATTGTGACTTTGTCGGCTAGTTGGTTTATCATCTTTAATAAAATAGGTCCATACTTCGCTTTGTGGTTCTTTATAAAAATGAAAATATTATCATTTAAAATTAACATACGTGAAAAAGATCTTTACCTCCTGCCATACGTATAACAACCCGCATAGGTAACAAAGCACAAAAGGCACAGAACAAAATGCTGTGTCTTGGCTAACTGCGGTACTCGGTCCTGTGTCTTCTTCGCTTCTTGTTCCGTTCCTGCTGTCATACTGATGAACTATGAAGGCAAGAAGTGGAAATCTGAGGGCTCGTTTTTTTTTTTCTGTTAAACACAATGTTATTGAAGACTAACAAAATGATGCAACGGAAATGTAGAGGATGTTATCAATATAGTAACTGTAGTGTAAATGTGAAGAAAGAAAAGTGGATGACAGGACAACTTTCTGCCGGCAGGGTCCAAACCTCCAACCTTCGAACAACGCGTTCGAACAACCAACTGAGCTACAGTGGCGTCCATCCCTCCGTCCGTTTCATGGGGTATATATGTGCACTTGAACTGCTAGTAAGTGCTGCACTATGAAATATGCATCACCAGCCTACCGGCAAATTTCACAAAAATTCAGCCTTCCGAGCATTCGGCTTTCTAAGTTATCATCTTCCTTATCTTTGTGAAAACAGCATCTTGGCGAGCTGACCTAGGTCGCGCTTCTACTGCACGCAATTTGGGAACTCCAGCAGCGCTCGGTTGCAGAAAGAATGTGCCACTCCTGAAGCTGGTACCGCGTCGGCCTTAAGCCCTGTTGGCTGCAATTCCCCATTGGCGACGTGCATTGCCTGCCTGATAGATCCACTGTGAGCTGTTGGCGTAATTACGGTGAGCACGAGAGCTGTGCCAACCTACACCATATTCCGTGTTTTTTTTTTTCTCTTTTTCTCCTGTACAAATCCTCTTCGCGCAGTTTCTGGTCAAGATCCGGCCGCATTACGCCTTGCCGGCTTCAATTCGTCGCCCTTTCGACCATACAGCAGTCATTGGCAGTGTCGGCTACAATGTTATTGCCATCATGACCCTGACATTAGGGTTTTACTTACACCACCTCAACCGCTTGGGGTCCCGTGACCTCGAGTAGGAACGTCACGGGTGAGGTCACCAGTGCAACGACAAGTCTCTCTTAATCCCGGTTTTAATCCCGGTACAGTGGTGCTAAAAATATGGGCCAGCCGCGGTGATCTAGTGGAAATCGTGCTCGACCGCTGACCAGCGTGCGATCAAATCTCAGACACGCCAGCTGCGTTTTGATGGAGGCGAAACGCCAGAGGCATGTGTACTGCGTCATATCAGTGCGCGTTAAAAGACACCGCGTAGTCAAAATTTCTACAACCCCCCAATACAGCACCTAGCCTGATTCTACCTGGTCTTATAAATGTGAAACCCCGACGACTATTATGTTAAAAAATATTAGAATATAGTGTTTCTGGTCCCCCAGAGGCAACCCGTTGGTACAACCTTGCTTTTCGTTGCGCAACGACGTCATACGTCAATATTTTTTCAGCAGGTCACGTGATGATTTTCTGCTGAGATGAAAAGAGCCTCAATTGTTATTACAAATTTGCGAATATACTAAAGTCTCGAGTACCGCATGCGGATGGTATCCTCTTAAGTTGGGCCTTCGAACCAATTTGACGCGAATATTTTTCGAATATTTTACGTGCTTCTCGAAATCATGCGACACGGTGATGTAGTGGTTACTTTACTGTGCTGTAAATCTAAAGAAAAAAGTTGAAAGTAAAAAAAGTAAAAGTAAAAAAGTAAAAAGTAAAAAGTAATAAAACAAGGAGTACATTGAACATGTGTAAAATATAGTTCAAAATGTTTTAGTCAACTTCTTTTCGGCTTTCTAGAGGTAACACAACATGGGTCTTGCAGAACAAAGCATTATGGCTTCAGGGAAAAGTAGGAATTAAGCACGTGAGCTTTTTAAAATATTTTTCTGATTCGTGTATAAGCGGTTAAATTGAAGGAGAAAACGGTACATTTAAGGGCTCGTTTTTCTTTGTTAGACACAACATTATGAAATTGTGTCACAGTTTAGACATTTGCGTGCGGGTCTCGCCAAAGAACCACCAAAATTTTTTTCCAGAACTTCCCTTTAACTTTTCTTCTCTTCTTTTTCGGGGGAGGGGGGGGGGAAGTTTCACGGTGAATAATGCAGATATGGCCCTGTCAACGTGATGTCCACAACCCATTTGAAAGCACGCTGTAAATCTGGCTTTTTCGCAACAATATGCAGTGCACGGAGAAGCCCACTTCTGCGATGCCCCTGCATTCGATAAATTGGTATCGATATTCTAAACTTTCTGATGAAAAAAAAAAGCCAAAAATTAGTGTGATAAATTCTTCAGGGACCTCTCAGGACGTTTCGAAGAATCTCACTTGCTGTTGTGGGGCCTGCCTAGATTTTAAGCTTGCAACTTAAAAAAAACTAATCAAGATGTTCGAATTTCTGTATATGTAGCCGTGTCTAAACTATTTTATTGATGTGCTGGTTCCATAAAAATTATTGTTGGGGGAAATGGTTTATAACATTAAGGTATAAAATTAAGCAAGAACTTATAAACAAACACGGAGTTGTAGAGAAGCGTAGAATTTCCTAAGAATGCGCTAGAGGCAACTTTGACGCTAGTGGCTACGGGAGCTGCAACGCTTGGCGCATCAGCCAGCATGACGATGATGGGTAGTACAAGGATTTGTCTAAGCCAGTGGTCCTCATCTACCGATGTTTCGCGCACCTCTTGTGGAATGGTGTAAGTTATAAGGGACCTCTTGCCGTAAGAAAAAAAATGGGGGGTGGTGCCATAAATTACAGTATCATGCACTGTACAATACGTGCCATTTTTTTTTTGTTCCTGACAAAGATTCGTGAGCGTCAAATGGCAATTCGATCACAAAAGCGAGCGCTTGTAGGCGTGCAATGGACACACGTATGCTGATGGTGCTTTCTTGCCTCTTTTTTTCTTTCACTCCCTTCATTCCTTCCCATCTGTGTGCAGGGTAGCAAACCGAACACACATATGGTTGACCTCCCTGCTTTAATTCCTGCTTTTCTTCTTCCTCCCTCTTTGAGGACGCTCAAGGTAGAGACAATCGGAAAAACAACAAAGAAAATGTCGACAGCACTTGCTTTTTGAAGTTCTTGCATGGTAATTACGGGAGAACACAGATGAATTCTTCTTCTGGTGCATCGCGGAATAAAGTGTTGACGGGTAGCCTGGAGAGAGCGTGAGTCATGACGTTTTCTGTACTCTTCCTGTATTCGATTGTATAGTTGTAGCAGAGAAACCGTGAGGACCAGCGCGCAATCCTTAATGGTCGGTGACCGGTGCCTTTCGTCAAAAAGAGTGTAACGCCGCGTTCGTAAGATGAAAGGTCGTCCAAATAGATAAACGTGCCTGAGTTCGCAAGCCCCAACGCTGGCAAGGGCCTCAAGTTCGCCGACTGAGTATTTACGTTCATTCGGTTGAAGTGTGCGGGAGCAAATGTAACAGGTTTGAGTTTGGTTAGCCACCCTGCCTTTCCTCTCCGTTTCTCTCTGACTATCTCATTCAGTTACTGACTTTTAGTGCCATGCAGGTGAACGCCGCTAACTCCGGGCGTCAGATTTCTCGATGCATGATTGACATGAGGGTTTGGGTTGAAAAGCTGGTCACTCACGGTAACGCATAAGTGTGACTTTCGAATAACAAAGGGCTAGAACGCGCATGTACTTTTCA